TTCAACACGGTAACAGAATCACTTAAATAAAAACACTGCATAGCTGCAGACTTAAATAGTAGTTTAGGTTGATGCATCAAGCAATAATTGTGAATACAATAGGGACAATGTTGTTAGTAATGTATTGCAATAAATATGTACGAAGGTTTCTGGATTTATTTCAACAGTAAATGAGCTTCTCGAATATTAATAATATTGATTGGTAGTAACAATAATATACGTTATTAGCGTAAAGTTATGAAAATTTTCACAACCTCTGTACAAAGAGCCAATTCAAACCATGCCGTTCTAGCGACAAGAAAAGAAATTATTGACAAAAAATATACGACGCCTGGATATGGAATAGCGCTGTGTTAAGGATACCAATCCCGACTCATCGACAGTCGAGGAAAGCAGGATTGCGAAAACGAAATGTCAGTGTCATTAAGATACCTGTAAACCACGTACGCAGTCAACTATGCTGTCAGCGCTAAGCGTTCAGGAAGTTTGTAAAATGAGGCGTTAACCGTACGGAACTTACACTTTTTCTACAGCATCCAGCAAATCTTTTTTAACTTTTGCGGGTCTAGTGCACGATTCCATTCTTTTACTGCAACTAGTTCGTGTTGCTAGTGGAGTGCTGTGAGCCTGCAGCAAATTAGGTGTGAAGGCCTGAAATGAATTAGACTAAAAAGATTTGAAGTGTAACGACTAAAGTCGTTCTCACCGCTGCATCATTTTCTGTCCAACAAGACATTGAATCTACTTCCCTTTTCGCAGCACGACCATAATGAAGATCAGGAGTACTGCTTTCACTTTCAGAAGCACTGAAAGATGATACAGTCATTGAAAACAAAAGCAAACAAACCAATACATCAAAAAACCTTAACAATACGACATGATAAAGTTGAAAAATTTTGTTATACACAAAACTCTTTAAAATGAATAAAAGAAAGTGAGCTTAAAGCAATGCCGTCAAAACGAGCAGGATTTTTTACCGAGATCGCCTAAACGAGCTAGCGTTCTTCCAGTTACCACTTTCACTGCTGGTCTTTTTCTTCTCAGAAGCCGTTGAAATCAATAAATTCGTCGCAGATTTACTGGTGCTGTTCTTGTCTGCCTAAGACGAAAATATTAACGAAACATTTCTGGCAAACTGAAATATCATTTTCAGTAAAAACTATTTCCGCTGGCACAGTCTTCAAACTGAGGGAAAACAGTAACGGTTTCAAAAGACCCTAGAGAAACGGCAGTTGAAACAAAATCACTTGCAATTAAAGCATCACTAGGCTTTTGATGGATAAACTGACAACGTGAACCATACGGACAGTAGCCAGAAATCGAAAACTTATTACATAACTGTGTCTTGTATTTTGGATGAGCCTAAAAATTCAACCGTCATCACTATTAAACACCAAATATTTAGTTTCTTGTTTGGCAGAAACTTTACATATGCATTCTACAAATCAAATAATTAGTGCCATAAATCATTTTAAAGGTGCAACTACTTCCAGATACCTCAAGTCAAACTCAGAGTCAAACTCACCTGCGGTGGTAGTCGTAACTCTTTTTCCCCGTGAGCAAAACAGCAGTTATCACCAAATTCACACTTGCCCGTGTCTTTAAAAGCCTGACAGAGGACAGTTTTATAGGCACTCGCCTTCCGACGCTCTATAAATAATTTTTAGTGCAGGAGCTAAAAAATTCTGAGAAAAAAAAAAACAGACGTGAAGGATGAGACAGCAGTTTACCCTTCTGTACTAATTCGCGCTCAGCGTCAGTTAGTTTGTGCCATTCATAGGTCATAAGCTGCGACGGCTTTTGTACAGCCTGCGTACGCCTTTCCGTATTCTGTTGCGATGGTCTATCCTGTTTTTCTGTTCGTATCTAAAGATACAGACGATCTGAATGCAGAACTAAACAAATGCAACATATAAATACTGAATTATTAACTTGTCTGTTATGAAGAATTTCACTTTTCACCGATGGTTTAGCTACTTCAACAGGTTTAGCAGCGACAGGTTGTGCTTTCATAGTTGGGACCTAGAGTATCAGAACACTAGCGGCTGCTGTATTGCAAGAGTCACTTACAACGAAAGCGATATAGAGGGATACCTGGATCAAAGGGTGTGAGTAAGACAAGCGAACCGGCGCGCTGGCAGGTCCAGCAAAATTCTCTGCATACGTGAACACCGGTTGGCTTGCAATTACTGTAGGAGAACTTATTGACTGGAATAGTTTTAACCTTTGAATAATTGTAACGAGCTGTCACTTCAGGAGCTTCAAAAAAATATCAGTTGACATTTGAAAAATATTGTAACTCACCAAATTACCGAAAGTGTTGATGAATGCTGGCGAACATGGTGGTGGGGATGCAAAGTCGACATACTGTAAGTAACCATTATGCATAATATAAACCCTAAAAGTTGACCGGTCTTGTGGTAGTCAATGAAACTCTCGTAACTTTTGTTCAAAAAATATATATATATATATATGTACAGTTTGTATTTAAAAAAAATAGTTTCACTTGTTTGGCTCGTCGTAATTGATATACATGCTCGCATCACGAGCGACTGCATAATTACTAAGAATAAAATTTCGAACATGTTCTGGAACTGATGATGAAGAGACAGTCCACAAGGCTCCTGGAGGTACAATG